AGCCGGGGGGGAGGGATGGGGGGCAGAGGGGCGCCCCGCCCCACGTCGCCCCATAGATCCCATAGGGGACCCAGGTGTCTGGGGCTGCCCCACATCGCCCCATAGACACCATAGGGGACCCACATCACCCCATAGATACCATAGGAACCCACATCACCCCATAGATACCATAGGGACCCACATCACCCCATGGATCCCGTAGGGACCCAGGTGTCTGGGACTACCCCACGTCACCCCATAGATGCCATAGGGACCCAGTTCACCCCATAGATCCCACAGGGGACTCAGGCATCCGGGACTGCCCCACGTCACCCCATAGATACGATAGGGACCCACGGCACCCCACAGATTCCATAGGGGACCCATGTCACCCCATAGCTCCTGTAGGGGACCCAGGTGTCCGGGACTGCCCCATGTCACCCCATAGATACCACAGGGATCCATATCGCCCCATAGATCCTGTAGGGGACAAAGGCATTTGGGACTGCCCCACGTCACTCCATAGATGCCATAGGGACCCAGTTCACCCCATAGATACCGTAGGGACCCATCTCACCCCATAGATGCCATTCAGGACCAACCTCACCCCATAGATACTGTAGGGGACCCACATGACCCTATAGACACCAATGGACCCACGTCACCCCATAGATCCCATAGGGGACCCAGGTATCCGGGAGTGCCCCACATCACCCCATAGACACTATAGGGATCCACCTCACCCCATAGATGCCATAGGGACCCACCTCACCCCATAGATCCCATAGGGGACCCAGGCATCCGGGAGTGCCCCACGTCACCCCATAGATGCCATAGGGACCTACTTCACCCCATAGATGCAGTAGGGACCCACCTCACTCCATAGATACTGTAGGGGACCCAGGTGTCCGGGACTGCCCCCCACAGATGCCATAGGGGCCCCAGGCATCCAGAACTGCCCCACGTCACCTCACAGATGCCATAGGGACCCACCTCACCCCACAGATCCCATAGGGGACCCAGGCATCTGGGACTGCCCCACGTCACCCCATAGATGCTATAGGGACCCACCTCACCCCATAGATGCAGTAGGGACCCACCTCACCCCATAGATACCATAGGGGATCCAGGTGTCCGGGACTGCCCCACATCACCCCACAGCTACCATAGGGACCCACCTCACCCCATAGATATCATAGGGG